TTTTTGGATTTGTATATGTTTGTGCATGGAAAGGTAACCAAGAACAGGTTGTAAATGAGGTATTTGAGTTCTGATTGTGACTGCCATGAGTGTGCTAGACATGCCTGGAGAAATCAGGTAAATTTTGTGTGTCATTTTCAGAAATAAGAAGAAACCTTTGAGCAGAGTTTCTGGTCCAGGGGCATCAACATGGGCATCTCTACCTGTTGGGCTCTATAAGCCAAAACTTGTAGCTGGCATCTGCTATCTGAACAAATGTGTATCACATGCATGTGCTATTAATTTTCAAATGTATCAGATGATATATAATTTAAAATATGCAGAATGGCAAAAAGCAACTGAGTATTTGCAGTGCTTTTCAATATATTTGCATTTTATTAATCCACAGATGCTAAAATCAAAACTGTCATGTGAAGGTTGATATTTTTAGTATTAAAAGCAGTGTGGTTTTCTTTGTACTGAGTTAATAGAGAAACTTATTTTTTGCCAAAGGACTGCATAGGTACTTATTTGCATATAGAAATACATTGTGTTTTTAGGAAAAAAGTTTAATTCTACTTTGATCTTAGTGATTTTATGGTCATCCTCTTTGGGGATACCTAGTGGTTATACTAAGAAGTGCAGCCTTTCTATCTAGACTGTTACCTAGGTAACAAACAGATGTCTAGACTTCTTATCTAGTCATCTGCTTGTTACTGAGGACTGCTGCTAATTCAGACTTCCCCAGGACTCCCATCTGGTGGGTGAGTATCCTAGTCGCCCACACTCATGGTAGATGGATATGTGATCTTAAATGCAAGGTATCTGTGAATTCTGAGTGCAGACTAAGGTGTTTTTTACTAAAACGTAGGATAAAATGTTGCATGATTGGAACCCTGGACTAGGATTTTTTAAGCAAAAATTAAAAACATCCGTGATTGTCTTAGGTTTAGGGCTCTACTCTAGGTTAGGAAGCTTGCTGGAAACTTTTTTATGTCCCTAAATTGGGTTAGTCCTCTCCCCTGAGCAATAATCACTATTATTGTAGTATACTCTGAGCTCCAACAGGGTTGATACTATGGGTAATGTACCCAGGCCCAACAAAGCTCGCACTCAGTAATAGCACGCTGAGTTTTTAATCTTTTTATTTTATGCATGGTAGGATTATTTATAGTTCCTTGGGGCTCTAAATTAATGTCAAATTTATTAAAATTGTAAAAATTAAAAAAAGTTAAATTTTTGTAAGTCCCGATCTATAAATACTGTTGCTCTATTTATAAAGCTAGTAATTTTTGTATAAACATGAGAATGTTTACTTTCATTATTTGATTAATGGTTTGTTAACTCAAGTTTAACCGGTTAAAGTCTCCTAAACAATTTACTGTAAATTAGTCCCATTTACAATCTAGTGAATTTAAAAAATTTTAAACATTTTAAACTGCATTTACAAATGTGATTTACATGATTTTTCCCCCCAGTAATTCGAAGCCCTAATGAGGCCCTAGCAAAGCTAATGGGCCAGGTTGCTTTACACACTTAAGCAACTCTTTGAAATCTAATAAACCAAACTGGAAATATGGTAAATTAGCTTCTTTTAAACATTCAAGTACTGTGTACCGCCTTACTCACATTTTCTTACTCCTTTCAGATGAAAATTGCAAGTCTAATACCAATTGCACATTCCAAATTAAAACCACAAAGACCGATATGTTGGGTTCTCTAGCTTATCAAATTGTTGTAATTACCTTAATAACAAAGACACATTATTCAGAAGACTACAAAATTTAAGATTGTAATTGAGTTTATTCCTCAACTTTAGGGTAAAGCTTGATGTATTTTATTTCTACTTTTTTTCTTTACCATTCACAGTAATAAACACACTCAGGCCAAAAGTTGTAACTATCTTGATTTACGATTCTGATTATGTCACTAACAATGTGAGATTTGAGCCTAGACCACAGACTAAGTGCTAAATCCTTGCAGGGTTTGTCTACCAAAGGCCAGGTGCACAGGCTGAGCCCTTTCTTGGAGTCTGGTACCCTCTGCTCTGTCAGTAGGGCATCCAAGTTCTTGCCTTCTAACTAGGATCTAGCTTTAAAATCCAACACATCTTATGCTCTCTCTGTACTTTTCCAGTTTCATTCTCAACCAGTTTTGAGTATTATCTCTTTCAAAATTTAATCACCTGATTTAGGTGAATGGCATTTTGCTCCACACTTAGGTCGAAGCTGATTTTCTTCATTTCTCCTTTTTTTTAATAATAATTTTTTTTCAGTTATAGTTGGCATACAATACTATACTTGTTTCAGGTGTACAACATAGTGATTAGACATCTATATAACTAACAAAGTGATCACCCCAGTAAATCTAGTGCCTCTCTGACACCATGCATAGTGATTACAATATTATTGGCTATATTCCTTATGCTATACTTTCTATCTCTATGACTGTTTTGTAACTACCAATTCGTACTTCTTAATCCCCTCCCTCTTTTTCACCAACTCCCCCAACCTCCTCCCATCTGGTAACCCTCAAATTGTTCTCTGTATCTATGAGTTTGTTTCTGTTTGTTTATTTCTGTTTGTTTGTTTATTTTGTTCTTTAGATTCTACATATACGTGCAGTCATATGACATTTGTCTTCCTCTATTTGACTTACTCCACTCAGCACAGTACCCTCTAAGTATTATCTGGGTATCACGATATATCTTTTTCCATCCCCTTATATTTAGTCTGTGTGTGTCTTTTAATCTTAAGTGAGTCTCTTGTAGGCAGCATAAATAAGGGTCTGGTTTTCTTGTCCATTCAGCCACCCTCTTTTCATTGGAGCCCTTAATTCTTTTTCAGTTGAAGTACTTGTTGATAGATATGTAATTATTGCCATTTTTTATTTAGACTTTTGATACATATGTATTTTTTTTCTTCTAAAAGAAGTCTCTCCAACATTTCCTGTAATATTGGTTTGGTGGTGCTGATCTCCTTTAACTTTTTCTTGTCTGGGAATATCTTTATCTGTCCTTCGATGCTAGATGATAACTTTGCTGGGTAAAGTAATCGTGGTTGTAGGTCCTGGGTTTTCTTTAAATATTTTGTTTATAATTAAAACATTATAAGCCCTTCTGGCCTATAATGTTTCCATTGGAAATAGGCTGACAGTCTTATTGGTGTTTCTTTGTATGTAACTAACTAACTGCTTTTCTCTTGCTGCCTTTAAGATTCTCTCTTTGAATTTAATCTTTGGCATTTTAATTATGATATGTCTTGGTGTGGGCCTTTTTGGCTTCATCTTATTTGGGACTCTGTGCTTGTCCTGGGCTTGTCTGTCTATTTCCTTCACCAGGTTAGGGAAGTTTTCTGTCATTATGTCTTCAAATAGGTTTTCAGTTCCTTGCTCTCTCTCTTCTCCTTCTGGTACTCCTATGAAGTTATGCTTGATGTTGTCCCAGAGGCTTCTTAAACTGTCTTCATTCTTTTGGAATTTTTTTTGTTGCTGTTCTGATTGGGTATCCTCTGCTACCCCATCCGCTTGTCTCCATTTTGGTGAATTATTTTTCTGAAACTTTGTTCTGTTCTTTCATATGGGACATGCTTCTTTGTCTCCCCATTTTGGCTGCCTCCTTGTGTCTGTTTCTATGTAATAGGTAGGGCTCCTAAGTCTCCAGATCTTAGTAGAGTGGCCTTATGTAGTAGATGTCCTGTGGGGCCCAGTGGCACAGTCTTCCCTGGTCACCTGAGCACGGTGTTCAAGGTGTGTCCCTTGTGTGAGTTGAATGTGCCCTCCTGATGTAGTTGAGCCTTGGTTGCTGATTGCATTTCAGTGGGAGGGATTGACCCGTGGGCTGATTGGTTGTTAGGACTGGCTGGTGAGGGACTGACCCTATAGAGCAGGATTCACTTTAGCAGGGCCCAATACCTCAGTGCCACCCTGTGTGTCCTGAGCACCCCTTAAACAGTTGCCCTGGAGCTGGAGCTTAGAGCGAGCAAGGCCATTAGTGAGTAATGCTGGGCATGGGCCCTTTAAGAGGAAAGTCTCTACTTCCCATAGCCCTCTGTCTCACTCAGCTGCACCTCCGCTGGTTTTGCAGCCAGAAGTCATGGGAACTTCTCTTCCCAGCACTGGAATCCTGTGCTAGGGAGCCCAGTGTGCAGCCAGGACCCCTTGGGACCCCACACTCTTTAGCTGGGGTAGGGAACTCTGCAGCCAAGATAGCCTTCTTGATTCTTGATTGCCACTTACAGTTGTGGGACCAGCTGTTTTGCATCTCCACCCCTTGCTACTATTTGAGGTGACCTGTTATTTGAGGTGACCCAGTTGTAGGGCTTATTTTTAGACAGACCTCTGGTAATTCCATGTGCTGGTTGCCCTGTAGTTTTGTTATAATTTTGGTGTGGTTGCTAGAGGAGGCGTGTATAGCCTCTACCTTCTACGCCATCTTGAATCTTCTAATTTTCTTTACTTCTTGATCGAAGTCAATGTAGTTCTTTACCTTTGGATTTTATATTCTTTTCCTGGGTATGCATATTTTCTTGTCTGGTGCTTGGTTACAATTCTGTAGTCATTTTATTGACAAGTAAGTGTCAAAATGCTGATCAGCGTTGAATGCCTATTGAATTGACTTTGGTAACAGAGTTCAAGAGTATTAGCGACATAGGGAATCCATTCATTTCAGTCTCCTTTGTCCAAAGCCAGCAATTGCTCAGCTGATTTTCCTTTCTAACACCAGGGGTTCTCAGCATTGACTGTACATTAGAATCATCAGTGGACGTTTGATACTGCACATGGTCGGGGCCCCACCTCAAACCAATTGAGTGAGAACCTCTGCCAGACAGCGTGTGTTAAAAGTACACCAGGTGATTTTCATGCACAGAGAAGATTACGAACCAGTGTTGTAACATTGTTAAACAAAAGTTTTCAGATCATTTAAAAAATCTCATGGGAAAGGGACAGACAAAATGAAAAGGACACCAGAGGTAAAAAGTTAGGCGAATGCGCGACTGGACCATTTTCCTATAAAAAGTCGGAGTTAGAAAGGAGGTTTGTTAACATATAGGTTATAAAATCTTTATGTTTTTCTTTTTTATTTGTTCAAAGTACTTGTGTGTGGATCACTCTCTGAGTTTTCTTAAAAATTTGTTATCAGCACCATAAGGCATGCACTCAAGTGTTTGCTTCCTCACCCAGATTTCTGTTGATGTACTCCACGGTGCTGTGCAGCTATTACAACTCAGCCCTGACGACAGCGGTGGTTGGAGCCATCAAAGTAAGCCAGTGAAGCCTTTGGATGCACAATCGAATTGTGGACTTGACTGTGAATCCAATCAGAGTTTATTTTTATTGTTATCAGTGGTAGTAAGAATGGAGGCTTGTGGCATTTTCAGCCGCACCTGGGTGATCCCTTTTTGCATCTCCCCATCTCCTAATCCATAAAACAGAGGGAGGACTAGCTAATTTAAAAAGGAGAGACAAATTATGACTTTTAAATTGGGGGTAGTGGGAGGGAATAGTCTGTGAACATGAAGTAAAAAAAGCTGAAATAAATTCCAAATTTCTGCACTCACCAAGATACCTTGTGATCTACAGTTTGGTTTTCTGAGAGAATCTGCCAACTGAGGAAGGGAATCCTTGTGAAGAACTGTTTTAATCTAAGTAAATGCTCGATTATAAAGCAATAAGCTCATGGATTGGTGTTAGGTATTTGTGTGTGCGCGCATGTGTGTGTGTGCGTGCGCATTTAAATATACACAAGTGAATAGAAGGGTAGGGGTGTTATGAGTTCTCTTCTACAACTGCTTTTTCTATTTACATGAACTCTTGGAATGAGTGAGAAAAACTACATGCTTCCACAGTAGGCTTATCTGTTGGCTGCCCTGAGGACTCCTAGAAGACACTGGACAGAATACTGCTTAGATTTTTTAGATGTCTCTAATCTGTTGAAGTTTAGGATCAATATGATTAAAATTCACTACCCAAAGTTGGTAAAGAGATGGGATCTGGAAAGCTGATTTTAGTCCAACTCTTACACCTTTTTCTTACGTGCGAATTGGAAGGGGGCATGAGTAATGCAGTTTTCTATGATTGTCGTGTCATAGTTTACTTCATTTCTTACAAAGCCTTATGTAATAGTTTTTTTATTCATTCACTTCATTCATTCAACATCTTGTGAACACTTACTATGTACAAGACTATGCAAAGTAACTAAAATATTTAGTTTCAGATTTCACCATATACATGTATTTTCTCCCTAAATCCTTTACTTTTAAAATGACTAATCCTCTCTTTTTCTGTAGAATGTATCCATTGCCTACATTGGGATGTTAGTTGGTGGAGACTACATTTTCTCTGTGTTAAACTTTGTAGGGTTAAATATTTGGTAAGTGGGATTTTTAAATGAATTCATTTTAGCAAAGTATAAATTTTTAAAAGTCTGATTAAGTGAAAGAGCAGGTGTTTTGACATTACAGTTTCTAAGATAATTTTACTTAAATTCAGTTCATGCATTTTTATGACATACTCCCTTATGTAGATCATGGGGGTGAGAGTAATGAAAATTCAAGAGGCTAAGATCTGAACCTAATTCATCTGTCTTCCTCACAGGAAAGTCCCTTAAGTTATGTCTTCTTTTTGTGAAGGGGACCTCATTAAACTTGTGCTCCATCAAAGCACCGTACACTAAGGATGTTGAGAGGAGTGACGAAGATACTTTTAAAAAGCATTTTGGGGTCCCAGACATGGGGCAGTAATAACATATAGTTTATTCAGTAATAACCAAGCGTTTATTTTCTCTCCAAGTTTCTATTTTAGAGTTGCTCTACTCTTTTTTCTGCCCCTAAAGATTTGCAAAATAAGAGGGGTAGTACTCACAGAGTAATCCACAAACTTGAGGAGAAAACAGGGGACTCGATAATTCCCTTCAAATTAGGCTGACTGCTTATAAAGATGGCTGCAACTGCTAGAGGTACCACGTATGAGATTTCTTTATTTTCACTCTATTTTTTTTCCTCTCCTTTCAGCATGGCAGGGGGCTTGAGATACTCCTTTTTAACTCTAAGCAGCCAGTTAAAACCTAAACAACCCGTGGACGAAGAAAACATCCCTTCAGATTTGAAGAGTTAGACTCTGGGGCAGAATTGCAGACTGACTTGCAGTCTGGGGGTCAGGGAGGATGTTCTCAGATGGAGGAATGTGAAGCTGGACTTTTGGGACATAGACCGCCCCCTGATTAAAGCATGAACAGGAGTGTCTGCACCACGGAAAGAGAATCTACCTCACAAGCCACTGCACAATGAGCCATTATCGACCTTAGAAATGTGTCCAGGCAAAGCCTTACCAGCCGAAAGCAGCTTCTCAAAATTAGCCACTGGTTGAAGGGATTGTTTCCAGAGGTCTCGCGTGGGCATTTGCTCCTCCACACGTCTGTGCTGTTTTCACTGGTACCGCGTGTGCTTCAGAAGAGGTACAAGGTCAGTGCTGTGATGGTGATGATTTTCTTATTAGCACCTTCGCCTTAATTTCAAAGATCCCAGCCAAAGCAAAGTGCCAGTGAGAACGTATTTTTCCAGTTTAAACAGACATGACTTTATTTTCATAAAATTTGCCTATTAACTGCCAGTAGCTACTTATTAGCTTTGATTCGATCTTATATGTTGGTATCTTTTCTCAATCACCAAAGTAAAATAAAAAATACTTTATACACATGCCTCCTATTCTAATATTATTGTAGATAGGTGGAAAAGCAGTATGTCAGTTTTTCACTCTGCCTTGAAGGGTGATATTCCTTTTAAGGTTCATGTTGGGGAAAATTGCAGCATAAGTCTGTGGAACATACAAGACTCAGTATGCACTGTCAGCATTTAAGTAGGTCATCTTTCTCTTCTCTTCTCCTTCCAGGCTTGTTCAGGGGACTATGAAATTCAGATCTTGTGGACTGTAGCCGAAGGTGTAGTTCCTCCTAGGCCTGCCTGACCTCCCAGACCCATGGTGTTGGGGAAGGAGCCTGAGTGGATGAGAGTTATTATTACTCTTTCCATCAGGAAGTGGGCTGTCCCCATCGGGATTGTGGTGCAGGGCAGGGCCCCAGTTTGGGAGACAGGAGCCCTTCCTTCTAGTCTTGTCATCACTGCTAACCCACCAAGACCTTCACAGGTCACCTTGCATTGTGGCTTCCATTATTTTAACCTGTAAAATTGAACTGGATCTTCAAATACCTGCAAGCTCTAACTTTCTAAGTTTATAGAAGCTGAGCCAGATGTGGGCAGGGCAGCAAATGAAGGAGTGATTGTGTTGTTTCAATTTATTTAATTAAAAAAAATTTATTGTAAAATACACATAAAATTTACCACCTTAAACATTTCTGAGTGTACAGTTTAGTAGCGTTACATACATTCACACTGTTGTGTAACCAATCTCTAGAACTTTTTCATCCTGCAAACCTGAAATTCTATATCCATTAAACAATAACTCTTCCCACAGTCCCTGGCAACCACCAGGCTACTTTCTGTGTCTACAAATTTTGACTGTTCTGGATACTTCATATATGTGAAATCACACAGTGTTTGTCTTTATGTGGCTGGCTTATTTCACTTAGGATAATGTTCTCAAGGTTCACCCATGTTGTAGCATGTGTCAGAGTTTTCTCCGTTAAGGCCGAATAATACACCATCATATGGATATGCCACATTTTGTTTATCCATTCAGTGGACATCCTGCCCATGGACATTTGGGTTGCTTCCACTTCTTGGCTACTTGTGAATAATGCTATGAACATGGGCTTAAAATTTTGTCTTTGAGACCCTGCTTTCAATTCCTTTTGAATATTAACATAAAACTGGTTTCCTCAATACACAAAACACTTCTGAATCCAAATGTATGGGATCCTTTTCACATTAAGCAGCTCTCCAACTCTCTGGACACCAATTGGTTGTCCTACAATTTAATTCTGACATTACCCATAGTGGATCCCACAGATTAAGGGCTCAGTCCCCCAAGATTGCCCCCCATTTCAGATGCCAATCCTGAGTCTCAGGTTGTGACTGGTGCTTCTGACCAACTAGCCATAAATCAGGGGTTTCCCCTTCCTCGGGTTCAGTAATTTGCTAGAATAGCTCACAGAAATCAGGGAAGTACTTCACTTTCTATTACCAGTTTATTATAAAGTTTATTATCAGTTTATTATTATTATTATTATTATTATTATTATTATTATTATAACTCAGGAAAAACCAAAGGGAAGAGATGCGTAGGACAAGCTGTGTGGGAAATAGTTTGGAGCTTGCATGCCCTCTAGCTGTGTCTGTGTCCCACCCAGCCCATCAATGTGTTCACCGACCTGGAAGCTCTCCAGACCCCATCATTTAGGTTTCGTTACTCTTTTCCACAGTGACACGTGGACCATAGCCGCACCCTCTCACATTCCCGGCCATTTTACATTCCTTGTACAACAGTGCACAAGGTTTCCAATTTTTCCACATGTTATTTTCTGTTTTCTTTTGTAGTAGCCATCCTAATGGCTGCGAGGCGATATCTCATTATAGTTTTGATTTGCATTTCACTAATGACTAGTGATATTGAACATCTTTTCATGTGCTTTTTGGCCATTAGTATGTCTTCTAGAGAAATGTCAATCAAGTCCTTTGCCTATTTTTCTATATGTGCTGCCAAAGCAAGCATCCTTTGCCTGTTTTTGAATTGAGTTGTTTGGTTTTGTTGTTGTTGTTGAGTCGTAGGAGTTCTTTATTGTTTCAGTTTATTTTTTTACTTTTAAAAGGTTTCTGGAGTGTGATCTTGGAGCTCCCAAGCTGTGTAACCACTGTCTCTTGCATTATCAACATCATTTCTGAAACCCAGAGACCAAAAACGCTATTTGAAAAGTGTAAACATTAACTCCTCATTTTTTCAGTGACAAAACAAAAACAAGCTGTTGCTTTCTTCCAAAAACTTTTTTTTTGATTTTTATTTTTAAAATTCTTGAAGATGCTTTTGTATTTTTCTAAAGTTTTAATATGATCAATCCTGTTTTCATGGCTAGGATGCTTAGGGTTGGGGATTCTTATTTAAATTTTTTTTTCTTTCGCAATCACCCCAGTACCTTTCTTCACCATTTCTTAAATGTGGAAAGATTTCGCCTGCTTCCATCTGTGGCCAGCAGAGGACACCCTAAGAGTGGCCCAACAGCTCTTGTAGCTGGGTTGAAACTTGTAATCTGCTGTACCTCTATAGAACCAGAGTCTCCATGTGTGAGCCTAGTTTTTTAATTAAGGTTAGCTGAGGATGTTGGATGTGGAGAGGTGGTACAAAACGGATCAATGAGCTCCAAAGAGGATGAAGAAGAAATGTTGCCCAGTGCCTCAGGTCTCCAGATTTCTTTTTTCTTACAAATAAAATCATAAAATGCACTCTGGATGGGAAAAGAAAATTAGTTTAATATCCTTGATATTTTGCTCACTTCTGGCTGTTGTACTACTAATAACAGTGAATCATTTGTTAACTTGGATTTTTTTCCTGCTGTTTTAATATTTTTTCTATGTATTAAATATACCTCAAGTACAGGGGCACAGGAGTTTTGTGAAAATTGTGTTTGTTTAAAGAATAAAACCTAGTTTAGAGACTAAGTTTATAGATATTATACAATAATATGTATTATATGTAACTATATGTTTTTCATTATCTATATTTTATTTATATTCATTTTCTGTGCCCTCAGGAAAATGACAAAGGTACATATGTCAATCATTTCTGAGTCCTTAGTTACTTTTCTCCTTTTGCATGATTATTTCAACTTTTAAGTCATTTCAACTCAAACTCATGAGTCATTTTTGGGTTCCATGAATGGATACGTGTATTTGTGCTGCAACTTGCCAAGGGTCAGCTGCTTAGCTGACCCGTAGCTGCTACTCCCCAGTAGTTTTTGGAGAACCAAGGGCACCCAGCACCTCAAAATCTCCACATTTCCTTTTGGTCAGCAGACACTGAAACACCTGGAAGAAGACAGCATGCCCTTTAGGGTGAACCCCGATGCAGTCCCCAAGCCTGGGGACTTCCAGGGTCAGGAAACACCATCTGTGCCTTCCAACTCTCACCTACACACAGGTTGAAGTTTCCCACCATGAGCCTAAGAGCCTTTCTCCACAGTGTGTGCTGCCTGGACCAGAGCCCCAGCATTACCTGGGGGCTTGTTAGAAATGCAGACTATCAGGGTACACACACTGAATGATAATCTACATTTTAACCCAGGTGATTTGAGAAGCGCTGCCCTAGGCTTTTGGTCCAGATTTACTTTTAGTTCCAGGGGTTCTTAACTTGTATTCACAGAATTTAAGGGGCTGGTAAACTTGGGTGGGGAAACAAGGCATCTTAATTTTCTCTAACCAAAATTCAGCATTTCTTTTCATTTGAATGTAGGCAAAACCACAGTAGTACTAGCTGTACTTGTGACTTTGTTACCAATAGAAGTTGAGATATTTTCATATCACCTTACACTTTTTGCAGAAAAATCATTTATGCCCTGCTCAGTATTCTGGTAGTTATTAGAGCCTCTACTAGTTTTTGTTATTTAATATGTTCATAAAGAAGCATATTTTTAGTATATAATGTTTAGAAAATATTGATAACTTTTTTGTAATTAATTTCTATTATAATTTTTTGTATTTTATTTTATGCATTTAAAAATGATTCGGAGAAGGACGTGATAGCCATCCCTAGTCTGCCATCCTGGTCTATGGCACTGAAAAAAATAAGAACCCCTGCCTCAGAG